AACGTTTTCTTAGGTGACTGCAGTTTTTGGACGACCTTGACGGGGATCATCACTGAGCTTGACACGTCCACGTTGAAATTCAATAAACCAGCGATAAATTGTGGTTTTGGATGGGGCTTCATTACCAAATGCAGAAATCATCCGGTCAACACACTGTTTTTGTGTTAAACCACTTCAAAAGTCATAATAAATCATCGCTCTTGAATTTTCTCGAGTCAATTCCATTTTCTCAACGACTAAACAAGTTTGACAAGACCTTGTGATACGACCGAGAATCTTTTTTTAAATAAATAAATGGTATACGATTTTTAAAACCCTGGAGTTTGCAATTAAATAGATTTTAATATGACTGGAACAGTGGAACTATTCCATTCCCGATACTTTTAGTGCAGCCCTCGTACTATAGGCCTTATACAAAAGCTCAAAGTTGCACAGCGTGCTATGGAGAGGGCTATGCTCGGTGTTTCTTTACGAGATCGAATCAGAAATGAGGAGATCCGTAAACGAACTAAAGTAGGTAGCTGACATAGCCCGACGGATTAGCAAGCTGAAGTGGCAATGGGCAGGGCACATAGTACGCAGAACTGACGACTGATGGGGCAGCAAGTTTCTGGAATGGACGCCGCGTATCGGAAAACGCGGCGTGGGACGTTTACCCACAAGGTGGACCGCCGACCTGATAAAGGTGGTGGTGACAAAGGAAGCCGCTGGATGCAGGTCACTACCAACCGTGCGATGTGGAAGTCATTGGGGGAGGCCTACGTTCAGCAGTGGACGTCCTGTGGCTGAAATGATGATGATGATGATGAAAGGCGGCCAAACTGTCGGCTGATAAAGTCTGTAGTAGTGTAGTTTGCGGGGCAAACAATAACCTCTAACATTAAAAAATCCGCCCATCGCCAAATTGGAATACCCTCAGAACTGACTTACGTCAGCGTATAAAGCTATGCAATCAGTCCCCAATAGCCAATATGCGAACGTTTGCCAAGGTCTGTACAAAAAATCTTTGACACTTAATTAAATTAATCAAAAATCCGCCCATCGCCAGATTGTAATACCCCTCAGAACTGACTTCACGTCGGCGTAAGCTATGCAATCAGTCCCCGATAGCCAATATGCGAACATTTGCCTATTAAGCGTTTAAAGTCGCGCAGTCGGTAATCAGTTGTCGCTGCGACACGCCCACCGATTGAATTAAAGCATTGAGCCCTTAATGCCCGGGATATGGACAAAACGGGACCCCCGGGCGCGACACTTGTAAGGACGCGGTGGGACTGCTGGCGAGTTTATAAGCGCAGCGGATCACAAACAAAAATGCCTTTAAACTTCACCATAAACTAAAAAATTCGTTCATTCGTTTAAACTAAGAGACTGCTGTGAGAGGCATGCGTCTACGTCTGATCCATGGTCTCCACTCGAGAACGAAACTTATAGATTTAGATTTCTTTAAATCTATGTTATAGTATAGGCTATAGGGTATATCAACTGAGGTGCTTATAAGCGATTTTTTTTTTGCAAGTACCTAACAGCTTGCGTGACAAGTTCCCATATTAAATGCTTACAGTATGTGGTTATCTGTTCATACTAGTATTAACAACACCTGACATTCGCTGGTCCAATGATAGTTTAATTTTCGTAATCAAATAATAAAAAGAAATTGAAATTAAAATATTAAAATACCCGCTGCAATTCAAACCGCAGCTCTACCCTCGTCGTAATTTCGACAGAGGACATTTTTAATAAATTAAAAATGGCGGGGGTTCAATGATTATTTGATATTCAGGGTAAATATTTGTTTTTTATTAGCGCCATACATCTGGACGGTCTTGGATGTTTTTTGAAAACATACTCGATGTTTTTTGTGTTATTGGAATACACGTGTTGAGGAAAATAGACCATGTTTGAAATTAGATATTTATTTAATTAGATGTAGACATAGTTACTATTTACACGTATACAATTTACCAGACATCCTTTTGGTGTTTTCATCTTAATTTACAAAGAAAATAGAGTGAAAGAAAATAATTTTACTTGTGAAGTATGGTCTGCTTACAATGTTTTGCCAATTAAATATAAAAATTAATTCTTCCCAGGATTCCCAGGAGAGCCCAAGTACGCATTTTGCGAAATACACATTTTGCAAAAATCGAATTTTAAATCGAGTGCCCATTCTGCGTCAACCCCATTTAAAACTAGATGAAGAAGAAAAAAAGAAGAGATTAAAATGAGTAGCCATGAAGCGACATAAATTCCACTCGATTGAAGTAATCGAATCGAAAGCAACATGTGTACGCGATAACCGAACATTAGCTCCCTTCCGATCATTCCTGCCGTATGGTCGGTAATACCACTAATACAGTCCCCCCAATATAGAACTGTAATTTTGAGCTCTATTACTACTGCAGTTAGAGTATACAAAAATTCGGCGTTGTAAATTCAATCAGTGATAATCACTTGTAATCCGTATGCGTTGATTTAACGTATTACAGTTTATTTAGCCGCAATCGATCATAATGGATAATTCAGGGTGTGTAAGAACACGAAATTTCCCTAAAACTAGGTAATCAATGCCTAAAGTTGAAGCGAAGTGTATAAGTACATCGAATATCCTAAAACAAGGTGTGTGTCAATACGGCATTGGTTTTATTCTGTGTAATCCGAAAGAGGGCGATTTTGGTCAAATTAAAAAAAATCTCCTTAATATTTGTACGGGGAAGTGAATTTTTTCTGCTATCAGCCCTTCTTTGCAAAAAGCTTTTTTGCTAAAATTGTCTAAATATGCGTAAAATTATAATTACTGGCAGATTTTTAGGTTCAAATAAAAACGAACCGCTCCGCTAAAGTTAGCGGGAATTGCCCCAGAGCTGTCAAAACAAAGACAAAAGAGTTTGAGTGACGCGAGCGCACACGGAGTTTGATAACTAGGCGCAAGTGGCGCGAACTTTATCGTGCCATATTAGGGTTCAATTATTGAATGCAGCACTTTTAATTAATGAATATTGTTTGCTAAATACACAATTACTTGATGCTACTCTACTTCTTATTATATTGTTCATATTTGTCTTTGCCATTTATTTTGTCATCCGCTGTTACTGAAAGTGAAGGGAATTTTATCTTTGACTTCGGACTCCTATTTCCTTCTGACTTAGGTATTTCGGTAAGGACCAATGACAGTTTACCTTCCCCTTGGGTCAAACTTGACCTAACCATGTTTAATGATGATCAAAAACTGTATATCCTGGCTGCACTGGAGTTTCCACCATATCTTTTCTCAATATGTTATCCCAAAATGGTGGTATGACAGCTATATTTGGGACATGTATAAGTGCCTTGAAAAAGGCCTACATGCTAATAAAGAATTTAAATGAGAAGTAGGAACATACCTGTGCCGTTCTATTATTCGTACGTTAGTTTCAGCCAATTGACGTCCACTACAGGACAAAGGCCTCCCTCAAGGATATCCATAACGATCGGTCCTGTGCTGCCCGTTGTATTATCATCATCAACAGCCCTTTACAGTCCACTGCTGGACTATGAGCCTCCTCCACTGTGGAGGGTTTTGCCATAATCCCCACGCTTGGCAGGCGGGTTGGAGATCGCAGTTTAAAAGATTGATGTTTTTCAGAGAGCGCTGCTGCCCGTTCTTTGTTTGATGTGTAGTCCCTAAGTATTCGTTGTATTATAAAGTCAACAAAACTGGAACCTACATCAAAACACAACACCGCCCTTGCCTGCACACAGGCATCTAGTAGTAATCCAATTTGTCTAATGCACTCTGGCTCCGAGGGTGCTGGTGACACAGGAGGCTAGCCCGTAAGTCAAATGTGTAAGGGAGGAAATCGTATGCTTGTAAGGGTAATGGGTTTTTGAGAAGCATACCGCCATAATGTCATTTTGTAGTTTGTACCTTTGAAATGACATAGTGCAGTATTGGACCAACCTTTTGGAGACCAGAATCATTTGAGAGTTTTCGGGGTCACATTATGAAATGGGCTATGTGAAACATTTGCAATGTTGCAGAATATACTGACATCCATGTTACAGAGAGTACTGATACACAACATTTAGTACAAATCGGCACATGAATTGATGATGGTGAAATGAAATATTTTTTAAAACTTTGACCAAAATTTGACATTTTTGAAAACGTCCAAAAGTCTTTGTCCATCTTTTAAGGAATTAAGGTTCTCTTCACACGCCACCAACTCAAAACACTTGGAACTAATCACATTATAATTATGCCTAAGATTCATCTAAACAAATACGCAGTCAGCAGAGTCTCGTCGACAATCAACATTTAGCATTCTGCATTATAAATGAAAAATCCAAACACCAACATTTACTATTTACCCACTATCAATGGGTCCACAGAGTAAACAGCATCGCAGACGTCAATGTTGACACAGATGCAAGTAACATTATACCTACGGGGGGCTGAAAGTGCCCTGTAAACTGTTTGCGAGGAGGAAAACAATCACGAGGGGAGAGGGGGGTAAGTAGCCCTTCTGTTAAAAATACTGGAACTGAAGTGAGAAATAATAAAAATTGTCTGCTGAAAAATACTTTTAGACATTGTTGTGAATAAATACCTGTTGACGAAAATGATCATTGCTACGCTGTTACGTAAAACATAATAATTATGTTGCAATTATTGCAATATTACAAAAGGACACAATTCTTACCAAAATTATTATTACTACGTAGTTTTTGTAGCAAGGGTTTTTAAGTTAATGGTAAGGCATAAAAGTGTGAGAAATGAGATCCATCAACTCAGGATAGCCGCGTGAACTTCATAAATCTAGTTTTTTTTAGAAATGTTGATATGCCATCTCTATATTATGTTACGTCTTATTTAAGTTCTAATTTTTTAATTAACAAAAAGTCTTTAAACCGAAATACGGTTTTAAAAATATTTTTTTCAATAATGTATTCCCCGTGTTGGCAAGATATAATAGGCCAAATAGCGAACGGTTGAAAAATGTATTTTATTTTAAACTTACCTGATGAGCGTGTGCGCTCTGGTCCTCAGTGTGACCAGCAGGTCGATCTCCTCTTTGTCCGCCTCCTTGCTCTCCTCGTCGACCCTGGTGGAAAAAGTATTCATTAGTTTTAATTTAGTACACACCAATGATATTATATAAAAACAAAAGCAGATATGTTATAAGCGCTCGCGCTGTGAATACTCAAATACGTCCCAATTGGGACGTCTTGTGTTTAGTCTTCGTGTGGTGTGGCCTGCGTCGTGCGCAATCGCGTGTACCACACCATAAGTTCCTGTGTTCTTATAAGGGTTCCGTTTTTTGCCATTTGACTACGGAACCCTAAAAAGATCGCCTTTTTTATTTTGGCAATATTTCGACATTACAGATATTTACTATTTATGTATTCGTCATTAGAGTGAATAGCCCAGAAAAAGAAATTAGTTTTTTTAAAGGCCTTAATATGGCTTTTTTGTAACTTTTTGGACTTTAAATTAAAACCGTCATTATTATAAGCCATTTTATTGATAAGATTAATGTATTTCATTTTATTAATAGAAAATTGTCGTAGTTTTTTACTATCCGGTATCCGGCCGGATAGTGAGTTACTATCCGGTATCCGGCCGGATAGTAAAATTAGGCCGGATATCCGGCCTACCGGATAGTTACCGGATATCCGTTTCATCTCTAATTGGTACACACTATTATACGAGTATTACCAACAGAAATCTACAAGTAATTTATGTTTCTAAAGGGAGGGTGGTAGGGTAATTTAACTTTTCGTAGGAGGCGGGCAGCCCCTGATTTTTTTCCGACTTTTTTCTCAGCACCAGCCTATACCAGATGACCAGCTTGCGGGAAATCTTTCCTTTTTCCTTAGTATCCTCGTAGACCGAGTCCAGAATCACAGAGAGGAAGCCCCTCAAATGCTTGGAGTTCTAGTGACAAATGATACCTGATGATGGTATGCCCCTGTAGACCAGCTGACCAGTTTGCGGCAAGTCTTTCCTTTTTCCTTCGTCTCCTCGTAGACCAAGTCCAGAATCACAGAGAAGAAGCCCCTCAGATTCTGAAGTTTTTAGTGCGAAATGGTACCTGATGATGGTATACTCCTGTTGACCAGCTGACCAGCTTGAAGCAAGTCTTCTCCTGTCTTTGTCTCTAAAACCCTGGTAGAGCTGCACCAAGTCTAGAGTCACTGGTATACAGTATCAGAGATACCTGATGATGGTGTACTCCTGTTGCCTAGCTGCTCAGGTCACGACCAGTCTTGCCCTTTCCTTTGTCTCTTTAAACCCTGAAGGAGCACAACACAGAGTCCAGGCTTCTAAGAATTCTAATGACAAATGTTACCTGATGATGGTATGCCCCTGTTGACCAGCTGCCCAGCTCAAGATCTGGCCTTTCCTTTGTGGTCTTCACACCCTGGAGGAGCACAGCACAATTCCGGGGCCACTAAGATACAGCCTTTCAGATGCTGTGACTTCCTAGAGACAAATGTTACCTGATGATGGTATGCGCCTTGTTCATGGCAGCGCAGTGGCTGACCAGCTCTTGACCAGTCTTGCCCTCTTCCTTCGTCTCCTCGTAGACCCTGGTGGAGCACAGCACCGAGTCTAGGGCCACTGAGACACAGCCTTTCAGCTGCTTATAACTTTCTAGTGACAAATAGTACCTGATGATGGTATGCCCCTGTTGACCAGCTGACCAGTTTGCGGCAAGTCTTTCGTTTTTCCTTCGTCTCCTCGTAGACCAAGTCCAGAATCACAGAGAGGAAGCCCCTCAGATGCTTGGAGTTCTAGTGAGAAATGGTACCTGATGATGGTATGCTCCTGTTGACTAGCTTACCGTTTTGCAGCAATTCTTGTCCTCTGCCTTTGTCTCTAACAACCTGGTAGAACACAGCACCAAGTCTAGAGAGACTGGTACATAGCCTCTCAACTGCTTGGCAAGTTTTCAGCAAACTAACAAATGTTACCTGATAAAGGTATACGCCCTGTTGACCAGCTTACCAGTCTTGCTTTTTCCTTTGTCTCTCTATACCCTGAAGGAGCACGGCACAGAGTTCAGTCCCTAAGACACAATCTCTCAGCTTCTGACAAGTTATTAGCAACAAATGTTAACTAATAATGGTGTGCCCCTGTTGACCAGCTGAGCAGGTCACGACCAGTCTTATCCTTTTCCTGTCTCTTTAAACCCCTGGTGGAGCACAGTACAGAATCCAGGGCCACAGAGTCAGTCATTAGCCTTAAGAATTCTAATGGCAAGTGTTACCTGATGATAGTATGCGCCTTGTTCATAGCAGCGCAGTGGCTGACCAGCTCCTGACCAGTCTTGCCCTCTTCCTTCGTCTCCTCGTACACCCTGGTGGAGCACAGCACTAAGCCCAGCAACATTGAGAGCCAGATTTTCATCTGCTTGGAGTTCTAGTGACAAATGTTTCCTGACGATGGTATACTCCTGTTGAACAGCTGACCAGCTTGAAGCAAGTCTTCTCCTGACTTTGTCTCTAAAACCCTGGTAGAGCTGCACCAAGTCTAGAGTCACTGGTATACAGTATCAGAGATACCTGATGATGGTGTACCTACTCCTGTTGACCAGCTCACCAGCTCACGATCTTTCCCTTTTCCTTTTGTCTCCTTACACCCCGGAGGAGCATAGCACAATTTCAGGGCCTTTGAAATACAGCTTGACTTCCTAGTAGAGACATTGTTACCTGTTGAGATGATGGTGTGCTCCTCTTAAGGACCGAGCCTAGAATCAATGGAACTCAGTTTCTCACATTCCTTGGCTTCTTAGTGACAAATGTTAAGTACCTGATGATGGTATGCGCCTTGTTCATGGCAGCGCAGTGGCTGACCAGCTCTTGACCAGTCTTGCCCTCTTCCTTCGTCTCCTCGTAGACCCTGGTGGAGCACAGCACCGAGTCCAGGGCCACTGAGACACAGCCTTTCAGCTGCTAACAAGATTCTAGTGACAAATAGTACCTGATGATGGTATGCCCCTGTTGACCAGCTGACCAGTTTGCGGCAAGTCTTTCCTTTCTCCTTCGTCTCCTCGTAGACCAAGTCCAGAATCACAGAGAAGAAGCCCCTCAGATTCTGAAGTTTTTAGTGAGAAATGGTACCTGATGATGGTATGCTCCTGTTGACTAGCTTACCGTTTTGCAGCAATTCTTGTCCTCTGCCTTTGTCTCTAACACCCTGGTAGAACACAGCACCAATTCTAGAGTCATTGGTACATAGGCTCTCTGCTTGGCAAGTTTTCAGCAAACTAACAAATGTTACCTGATAAAGATATACGCCCTGTTGACCAGCTTACCAGCTCACGACCAGTCTTGCTTTTTCCTTTGTCTCTTTATACCCTGAAGGAGCACGGCACAGAGTTCAGTCCCTAAGACACAATCTCTCAGCTTCTGACAAGTTATTAGCAACAAATGTTAACTAATAATGGTGTGCCCCTGTTGACCAGCTGAGCAGGTCACGACCAGTCTTGCCCTTTTCCTTTTTCTCTTTAGACCCTGGAGGAGCACAGCACAGAATCCAGGGCCACAGAGTCAGTCATTAGCCTTAAGAATTCTAATGGCAAGTATTACCTGATGATAGTATGCGCCTTGTTCATAGCAGCGCAGTGGCTGACCAGCTCCTGGCCAGTCTTGCCCTCTTCCTTCGTCTCCTCGTAGACCCTGGTGGAGCACAGCACTAAGCCCAGCGACATTGAGAGCCAGATTTTCAGCTACTTGGTGTTCTAGTGACAAGTGTTTCCTGACGATGGTATACTCCTGTTGACCAGCTGACCAGCTTGAAACAAATCTTCTCCTGTCTTTGTCTCTAAAACCCTGGTAAAGCTGCTCCAAGTCTAGAGTCACTGGTATACAGTATCAGACACCTGATGATGGTGTACTCCTGTTGCCTAGCTGCCCAGGTCACGACCAGTCTTGCCCTTTCCTTTGTCTCTTTAAACCCTGGAGGAGCACAACACAGAGTCCAGGCTTCTAAGAATTCTAGTATTCTAATGGTAAATGTTACCTGATGATGGTATGCGCCTTGTTCATAGCAGCGCAGTGGCTGACCAGCTCCTGGCCAGTCTTTCCCTCTTCCTTCGTCTCCTCGTCCAACCTGGTGGAGCACAGCACTGAGAGGCAGTAGCAAAGTTGCTTGGAGTTCTAGTGACAAATAGTACCTGATGGTATCCCCCTGTTGACCAGCTGACCAGTTTGCGGCAAGTCTTTCCTTTTTCTTTCGTCTCCTCGTAGACCAAGTCCAGAATTACAGAGAGGAAGCCCCTCAGATGCTTGGAGTTCTAGTGACAAATTATACCTGATGATGGTATGCCCCTGTTGACCAGCTCACCAGCTCACGATCTTTCCCCTTTCCTTTGTCTCCTTACACCCTGGAGGAGCATATGACAATTCCAGGGCCACTGAGATACAGCCTCTCAGATGCTGTGACTTTCTAGAGACAAATGTTAGGTACCTGATGATGGTATGCGCCTTGTTCATAGCAGCGCAGTGGCTGACCAGCTCTTGACCAGTCTTGCCCTCTTCCTTGGTCTCCTCGTAGACCCTGGTGGAGCACAGCACCGAGTCCAGTGCCACTGAGAGGCAGTCGCACAGTTGCTTGGCGAGCTCTAGTTCTCTGTAGTCGTTCATGTTCTTTTCCTGAGAAAAGTTGAGATTTTTAGCTAAAAGAAATAAACGCTGGATTAAGAAAGAGAAAGGGTCAGCCTGGAGCTTCATGGGGATTATATCCTGACAAAAATAATAATAATAATAAATACTCTTTATTGTACACCACATAAAAAGAAATAGAAAAAATACTGAAATAAAAAGACAAAAATGTTTCAAATTTTTATTTTTCCTGGCAGGTAGCTGATGATATGAAGAATACTTGAGACTACGGTTTTTGCAAACAGTTAAAAGCCCTGATATTGTGAAAAAATCCTGTACCGCAGACTACTAAGGTAGTATTTCGATAATAAGATCGATGTAATCAGGTCTTTAGGGTAGGACTCTTTCACGTATGTATTTATGTCTTTATGTCTTTATAGCTTAGTGATTTTAAAAAATCCCAGACAAGCGAAAGAACATGAATTCTCTCTGAGTCAGTCGTTTATTTTAAGAAACAATCATGCTAGAGATATAAATAAGTAGCATTATAAATAATCCTCAATAACTATCTTTAACTGGACTGTTTATTATTGTTACGGTAACTGAAAATACTTTTATCACAATTCAACAATACGTGAATCCATTTGCAATAAAAATAACTACAATTTAAGCGTCCATTACTTAGATCAAATTATACAATGAAATGGAACACTTTAATAGAAAAACAAAGACAATTTAATACTATTTAAAATGTTTTAATAAACGTCGAATCCCAAACATCTATATGGAATCATTCGTCGAAACAATTTTTAAAATTCCAGAAACACAATTTGTACTGATCATAGGGTTGTCTGATGCAGGTATCTTGGATAGGATGTTTGTCTTGAAGACCAAAAAACATGAAACTCTTTTCCTTCTTAGATAACTGGAGCAAAAGAGGCACTTCTTCATATTGTGGTTTGTTACAGGTTGCAAACCTAATTGATATCTGGATTTACAACAGCGACAACTACCGAAACGGGACTATTCCCACCTCTCTTTCCCACCGCTGCAACTCCTGTGTAGAAAGGATCTACAGCTTGACCGTCAATAAAACCCAACCAATGAAGGTCAAGTCTGTCCGTGGTGCATATCTTTTTCATAAAGGTTACTAAACCTTTGTTTGTCATCTGTCATCCGCTTTGCAACGACAACTACTGAAAGCGCTTTAACACTCCAACCCGACTCGGTATTACAAATCATATCTACTTTCGGTAAATCTGATTTATTCAAGCCAGTAAAGTCCTTACTGAACTGGAATTTATACAATAGAATAGATCTCAAAATCTAATATGTGTTTAATTGACAGTAAAACTACGTTTATAGTTTCTGTGGAATTAATAGGCAAATGTTTTGGCGAACTAAAGACGTCACAACTCGTAAAAATTATGTACTATTTATGTTACTTACGTCCCAAGTACATAAGTAAACACATTTAAAATCAGTAAAACAAACGTACATATTTTCAGTGCGGCAACCCTACGCCATCAACCATTAGGTGCGGAACCACCGTGTAGCGAGGTGGCACTCACACAGACGTGTATGGGCGCCGCCCGACGCCATTAGGCGGGCGGAGCGTTCGCTAGGGCGAGTGCACTCGACTGCTGGATATTAAAACTAGCAGTAACTCTGATCAACATCAGTTTATTTAGTTTCCACCTTATACAGAAGCTAAAAGTTGCACAGCGTGCCATGGTCGAGGGCTATGCTCGGTGTTTCTTTACGAGATCGAATCAGAAATGAGGAGATCCGTAAACGAACTAAAGTCGCTGACATAGAACGACGGATTAACAAGCTGAAGTACCAATGGGCAGGGCACATAGTACGCAGATCCAATAGGGCAGAAGAAGGCCAATGGGGCAGCAAGGTTCTGGAATGGAGGCCGCGTACCGGAAAACGCAGCGTGAGACGTCATGGGGAAGGCCTTTGTTGAGCAGTGGACGTCCTATGGCTGAAATGATGATGATGAAATGCTACTAGAGTTGCTGCTAGTTTATAACAAAGCGGTCCCTGATCCAGAAATGGTTTGGATCCACTGCCTTAGATGTACCGATACCTTATAAAGACTGCGAGAAGGCGCTAGATGTGGGCCCCTTCCAAATCGGCCGTTCAAGAAATCATCGGAGGAGATATGAATTAGTTAAGTGAGTCAGAAACCTGTGAATATTTAGGTTTTCCTGATCCCAAATGAAAAATAGCGCCCACCTCAAAACTATGACACCTAAAATTGACATAGCGATCGTAATCGCTATCACCTTGAAGGCGACCGCCCGCTAATTTCCATGCGGATTCCACCACATCATAAGGAAGCGATGTGGCGCCTTATCGTCCGATATCTCGGATCCGGCTCGTTTGCGGTAAAATTCGCGCTCGCGGTGACATAAACCGCCATTTTAATATCTGCCGCGTTACAAAATTGGAGTTAAGGGGTCGCGTACACTCATAATTTCAGCCTAAAGACGTCGCGTTCGCCTTAAGGTAGTCCATAACATTATTTTATCCAAAGAATGCAGCATTATTGGTCCTATAGAATAAAAGAGCGCTCTACACTACATTTGATTAGAAGTCAATAAACTTATTTACACCAAATCAGAGCCACCTGCTTGATGGACTGACGACTTCACTTTCGGTTGAAAGATGAATGATTTAACTATTTACTCTAATCGATTCTGCTACATAAATGACCTACTGAAAGAATTACAGCTGTTTTAGGATTACGGAGTCTCCATCTAGTATTCAACTTTTAACTCATCAAGAAACAATGAACGGCTTAATACATACATAAATATCCCCTGAACAACCGCTATAAGTGTTCTTTGACCCTAAACTTTATAGTTCGCTATTAAAAACAGATTATTGAAACGCACGCCGACGGTGCCATGTTTTTATCTTTCGTTATCTCTGGCGCTATCTTTTTTCTTTTCTCATAAATCTCTTACTTTATGGTCGGTCAGGAGCAACATTGTCCAGATAGCATCTTGGACTTTGTGAATCAGTTCTAAATGAATCACATTAGTGGCATGGAAGCGTGAAATATCCGACTTATATTGCATAATAAGCATTGTAAAAATCGTTACTATGGCGATATTAGTCTGAATGAAAATGACAAAAAAGGTCATGTATTTTTATCCACAAGAATAGTGAAAATAATAAGCACTGTGTACCTTTATACGCGTTATGTCTGTCGTAATTTGCAAAACCAATGTAGAGTTTGATCATTGATGCACTGGCGAATAGACTACAGAACATCAAATTACGAAAATTATTAAAATAGAGGATAGTGATCCTGTTTTTTTAATAATTGTTCACAAACTGAGTCAGTCACGACCACGAGGTTATGGCTAAAAATGTACCTATTTCCATCATCATTTCAGCCAATGGCAGTTCACTGTTGAACCTCGTAAGGTCCCATAAAAATGCCAGAAGACTTCCTCCCACTTTTTAATGCAACCACTGCCAGCCTTCTTGAAGTTACCAACATTGTTACTTCATAAATCATGCAACACATAATAACGCCCGTGTTCACAAACATTACTATGAGGTCTCACAGTGTGCGAGTGACACACGAACCAATCACAGAGCTCTGTTCAACGCTGTGCGTTCGATTTGCTGCTTCACTTATCAAGCATCGTTTGTGAATACGGACGTAAGTCTCATTTCTTTTTTTCATAAGATAATCTTTCTTTCATAAGATAATAATAGCACTAAATTACACATGACTCCTTCCAATGTTACAGACCGTGTTGCTAACTGCGCCAGTTTTATTTTTAAAAGTCGATATTATTCCAAATATTTATTTGGCGAGCAACCTCCGGCCTCGTTTCGGCTGTTTTTAAAAACCAATCACCTAAACCAGCCAATTTAGTACCTCGAAAGGTATGTCAGTCCGCGTATCACACCGCCGGAAAGTTACGAGGTCAAGCCAATTGTTTTGGGGTTCCGTATGTAAAATGAAATGCATAAAATTAATTAATTTTCAGACTACTTTTAATCTCAATAAAATCCATTTGACTTGGCTTTCAAAGATCACTTTTACATGACCCACCATATTTTTTTAACACTAACCGCCCTACTGCTTAAAGATAACAATATTGGGCCAGTGCTGAAATTCATGCCGTACCTCCATAAAATAAAATAAATGCAAGTTATTTCTAGTACCCATAGTACACGCTTTGCTTAGTTTGGAACTAGAGGACGCAGTATAAAATGTCCAAGGATATTTTATTAATTAATTTTATAAAAAATAATAATATAGAGATGCGGAACCAATCAAACAAATAAGCAACTCACACTCACACCTACTTATTTTATTTCGATCCTTTATATTTCCGTTAACGACTGCAGAATTTGTAAACGCTCGGATCGCCTAATTAGAGAGACAAAATTATATTTTTAATGCCCTCAACGCGATATACAATAAAATCTCAGCGCTATAACCCGCTGTTAAATTTTTTTATATTACTTTTATGCGTACAGTAGCATTTTAAAGGTCACTGTAAAGGTTACAGTTACTTTCTAATTTTGAAGATCCAAATAACTGGGTAATCTTCGGTTCGCGTGTTCATATCGAATTAAACCACCAATAAGTTTGTAATTAAAACAGTAATAAACACGACTCCTTAACAAAGGCGTCCAGGGCTTGCACTACATAGTAGAGGTAAGTAATAAAAGTTTTCCTAACTGCTAAATAAACCAATTTATTAAGCTCTAGTGAACTTTGTCAGTGTAACATGATGGAATGATTGGGGCTGTAAACCTTAACTACATAGGAACTGGATACGAGTATGTTACCTCCAACTACCGAAACACAAAACTGCTGTTAACATTATTAGATAAAATCGTGGTAACTCGCCTGGCGGACATGCAACAATCCCTACCACCAGTTAGGAATAGCATAAAAAAATGGAGAATGAGCTACCCACGGGCTGGAAGACGTAGCGTGGGCAGGCCTCCTACTAGGTGGACCGACGATCTGGTGAAGGTCGCGGGAAGAGCCTGGATGCGGGCAGCGC